CCCTGAAGAACTACTTTAGCCCCGTGGTCCATGTTGCTGGAAGAAAGATGAGAGGGAGCAGAGAATGGCCACCTACCAGTAACTTATAAAAGCTAGAGTGTAAGTACCTCTGCTCCCTCACCCGCTGTGACGTAATTCCCAGGTTCATGTTCCACATTCGAGTCATCCATGGCTCCCTATCGGAATGGAGCAGCCCACTGCGGAGCTGGCTTGGTTCAGCCCTGTCTTTCACATGTGCTCTGCTGCCAGTATTTTCCAGAATCATTTCCCAAGCAAACTACTTGTACCTCGAATATAAGTTTCCATTCTGGTCCTGGGAAAACTCAAACTAAGGCAGATAGTTAATAGGAGCATTTCAGGATGAAGGGCAGTTGTATCTGTGTGTGTGTGTGTGTGTGTGTGTGTGTGTGCGCGTGCGCGTGCACGTGCGTGTGCATGCTGTCCTCTGACCTTTGAGTGAAATGGCTTGCTCTGCTGGGGTAGGGGTTTGATTGGTTGCCCTTCCATCCTTAACAAACAAAATTCCCATTTTTTTTCTTCTTCTTTGCAGTACTAGGAAGTTGAATCCAGGGCCTTGCACTTGCTAGGTATGTGCTTTGAGCTACATCTCAGCCCCTTTTTGCCTGAGTTATGTTCCACGTAGTGTCTCTGGCCTAGGCTGCAATTCTCCTACTTGTACTTCCAAGTTGCTGGGGAAGACAGCGGGGGCCACTGTGCCCAGTCACTGTGCTGCCCCAAGGGTTCAGAATTCCCCTGTAGCCTAGCAGATAACAGGCACAAGCCATCATGCCTAACCATTGCTTCAGATAAGTCTCCTAGGACTGGGAAGGTGGCTCAGTGGTAGGGTGTTTGCCTTGTATGCATGAGGCCCTCGGTTCAATTCCTCAGCACCCCATAAACAGAAAAAGCTAGAAGTGGCACTGTGGCTCAAGTGGTAGGGCACTAGCCTTGAACTGAAGAGCTGAGGGACAGCACCCAGGCCCAGAGTTCAGGCCCCATGACTGACCAAAAAAAAAAAAAAGAGTCTCCTAAACTTTAGTGCCCAGGCTGGCCTCAAACCTCCTACCTACCAAGTAGCTAGGATTATAGGCTTGACATATCACACTCAGCAAGAACCCCAATTCTTGATAAAGCAGAAAGGGGTTCAGAAAACAACACTTTTCCTTTACTCCTAGAGGTTAAACCACAACTTGTCTAATATACTTTCTGAGGCCCGCAGAGGGAACCAATGAAGGACTTTTGGTCCTCGATGGCTTCACCAAACCCAAACCATCCTGAAAGCATCCACCTCCAGAAATCTTCATAGAGGCACCCATTCAGTGAGAGAACGCGTGGAGGGCAGGGGTTGAGGGGAACCCAGCACGGTTACTCACTGTGTGACTATGGGCGGGCTACCCTCTTTCAGTTCCTCACCTGTAAAATGGGGACAGAACATTGCCACCGCCACCAGGTTATAAGAATTAAATGAGTCGACACAGGGGAAAGCACGTGGCGCAGCGTCTGCACACGGCATTTTCTGGGACCACCACTATGACCACATCTGGGGGTCTTGGAAAAATGCAGATTCTGACCCAGGGAGTCAGGGTGCAGCCTGTATGCTAATGAGCCCCCAGGGGCTGCCAGTGCTTTGGGGCTGTGGTCCATACTCTGGACAGTGATGGCGGAAGCCAATGCCATCGTGGGTGAGGAACTGATCACCGCATCCTTGCTGCCACTGGCCCAAGCTGCACACGCTTCTCCATCCTCAAGGCTAGGATGAGAACAGTACCTCCAAAGTGTCACACGCCTGTCCTCTGCACCTCTCAACACTCTGCTAGTTGCTTGGTCAGCATCCTATAGGGAAGGATCTTTGCTGTGCCCTGTGCAATTGTCTGATCCATGATGGGTGCTTAATCATCTCTGGTGAAATGAAAATCCCTGTGGGAGCAGCCCTGTGCCCCTTGATGACCCAGTGCATGGCTGGGCAGCCGGAAACTGCAACCCCTTGGGGCTGTTTAAAGTGAGGTTGGCTCACTGCATGCCCCCACTGGGCTGGCAGAAGTCCAGGGGGTAGAGAGAGGGGAGGACAGTTACACTCCTTCTCATTTCAGAGCCTGGCACCTGGGTCCAAGCAGTGCCCAAAATATCAGCAGAGCAAGGAAAAGGCTGAGCACAGCTCAATGTCCCTGGCCCTTCTTTGTCCAGGTGTTAGATGAGGTGACAGCACCTGGCTGGCCTCCACCAAGTCCCAGCCCCTTCTAGCAGGGCAAAACTGTCCTCATTGCTGGACCCAGCCTCCTCCAAATCCCCTGCTTCTTTCTCAACTAAATTTAACACACTCCCCCAACCTTTTAATACCCACCATAATCAGCAGGTACCCAGTACTCACTCTGTGACACACCTGATTGTATCCAGGTGCAGTGGCTCACACCTGTCATCCTAGCTACTCAAGAGGCTGAGATCACGGTCCAAAGCCAGCCTGGGCAGGAACATTTGTGAGAATCTTATCTCCAACTAATTGCAGAACAAGCCAGAAGTGGAGCTGTGGCTCAAGTGGTACAGGGCTAACCTTGAGCAAAAAGAAGCCCAGGGACAGTATTCGGGCCCAGAGTTCAAGATACGGGTCCAGCAAAACAACAGCAACAACAAAACCCATGACTGTATTTTGAGGGACTTGTGGAAACCTCTAAACTGCAACCGAGGTCACCCAGCAAAATACTCTACTCACAGAAGCTTAGTTAACAAGAAATAGTATTAATAGAGAGTAACCCCAGTGCCTGACAAGTGCCAGTCACTGTTCTAAGTGTTTTCCTCATTATTAACTCATTTACTCTTCACTCCTCATTTATGAGTGATCTTCACCATTACTGTCCCCTTTCTGGACTTGGAGAAGATGTGACTTTCTCAAAGCCACATGGCTACTAAGAAACAGAAATGAATCATAAGCCAGTACTGTCTGACTGCTGAGCTCTGCAGTTAAGATTTTCTAATCCCTTCAAGTATGTTTCACTCAATGATACCAAGAGTCCCCTTTTGGAGCTCTGTCTTGTGCAGACAGAGCCTCATTTATTTTTTTTCCTTGTGAGACCTGCCTCTGTTGCTCCCTGTGAGCAAGTTCTATGATTTCCTGAGCCTTTCCTCTTCTGTGACATGGGATCATGGCTTTGAATTCCTGATGCCACCCACAGCACCAAACTGCTGCTCATGACCTAATCCTCACAGCCTCTCGTGATGCCAGCACAATATTTACTAGACTCCCTGACACTCAAAAGAGGCCACAGATGTGCCCAAGGCCACCAGAGTGTCCGTGGCAGAGCCAGAAGTGGAAACAGAGCTTCCTGAGCCCAAGGCGCCCATCTGTCAGCAGGGCCCCACTCCTCCTCAGATGTTTGGGGTTAACTGCCTCCAAGTTTGGCTGCCCTGCTAGGTGTCCCAGGCCACAGAAAAATGCTGGCTGCCTTCCTCTTCTCCCTCCTCCTCCTCCTCCTTTCCACTTGCCCACCCTTTTCCACAAAACAGGTGGATAGAAGGAGCAGCTCTGCCAAGGCCAGGCCAATCATAAGATGCTCAGGTGGAAGGGGCTGAGGAACAAGGCCTTTAGCCAACAGGAGCCCCCAGGGAGCTGAGACAAAGGGCCAGACATGAAGGGCAGCCAAAGGTGGAGGCCGAGCCTAGTGTGCCATGCCTGGCTAGCTGCTCCAAGACAGGTCACTGGCCAGTGTCACCTTTTTTGACAACAGAGATACTCCAGTTCCTGCCCCACCCCACAGGGTTGCCATGAGAGCCATGTGTTGCTATTCAGTGCTGGAAACGCAGTGTGACAGAGGGACAGAATAATTTATCTTATTTAATTTTAGTTAATTTACATTTAAATAGCAAGTGCACCTGGTGACATCCTTAAGGACCCTGCAGACTTTGACACCCAAGTTTCAGTCTCCACATGTGCACGTCTCGGGTTGTGATACCCCAAGCCTTTTTCCTGCCTCAGAGGATAGATAGGAACATGAAGCCATGAGGTGCTGCAGGTTCCAGGTTATGACCAGGCTGTGTGACCCAGGGTGAGCTCCTGAACCTCTCTGAGTAGGAGGGCACTCACACAATATGGAAGTTGCTTTGGATCTGAGTTTCTTTGCCAGGGACTTATGGGTGGGCTTTAGGGGAATTTAGGAATGAATGGTCTGTTGTTATGAAAAGAATGTACTAGTATGACTGTGTGTGAGTATCACTCTGTGTGTGTGTGTGTGTGTGTGTGTGTGTGTTTATTGGGGGAAGAAACAGGCCCAAATCTTTCCCTCAAATTCCCTAAGAGGTCCATAAAGATGAGAAAACCCAAGTCTGGATGAATTCTTTTTCCAGAGAGCTTCTCTCTGAAAAAAAAAAGAAAAATGGAGTTCTTGGGCTCCCTTCCAGGGACTCTAATTCGGTGGCTCGGAAGCTGGGCCCTGCCATCTGCATTTGTAACAAGCCGGGGAGGGAAATACTGGCTGGGGGCCAGGCGGCCTGCGATGTCTTGTGATTTGATGATGTGCATGAGATGCCTTTATCAAGCCCAGGTTTATGCTTTTAAAATACAACTGGGACCAAAAATGAAAAAAAAAATAACCTTTGCTTGTTTACTCACATGGATGTACAGCACGCATGCGCCGATCACAGTCTATACATATTAACCCATGACCTTGCAAATGTTTAATTAGAAATGTTTAGGAATGTTAAATTCATAGCACTCCCCATGTGGTTGGCATTCTTACCCAATTTTGTAGATAAGGAAGCTATCCCTTGGGCTCATGACCTGTCCAGAGGCAGTCCAGAACTGGGACTTGAATGCAAGCCCATGGGAATGAGCCCCTGAACCCCATGCCCTCAGAGCTCCTGGCCTAGCTGCCTCACTTCTTGAAGATGGGCACTGCTCTGGGGCCCTAAGCCAGCATTCCCAGGCCTCTTGGAAGTGTGATTACTCATTCCCCCATTTCCCCAGTGGGCAAGCCCAGAGGCTGGTGGGCAGGTGTGGGTCCTATACTCACTTGCCCTCTGAGCCGTAGCTGTTCATGCTATCCTCGATGGACTCGTGGCTGGCCTGGCGCAGCGTTCGGCTGGGCATCTCCACGGCCAGGCCTGTCTCTGTGCTCCTCTGGATGGCCCCCTTCAGCCTCCGATTGTCTCCTGCTGGGTAGAAAGGCCAAGAGAGATGGGGAGAGACACAGGGACAAAGAGGACAGAGAGGCAGTCATCAGGTTAGTGTTTCAGGAGCTAGTAGCGGCCCAGCTTTAGCTCCCAAACCCAGCCCACCAACCTCTTCATCCCACCCCTGAGTCCACCTGGGGCATTCCTGTCCTGGTACCAACTCAACACCCACACAGCACCACTGAGCTTTGTTAACTGATAGATACATTCACATTTCCTCCTCTCCTACATACTATTTACCAAGCACCTGTCAGGGACTCTGCATGCATCCAGACCAGGCCTTTGTAACATCAGTGTGACTGGCACTATGGGTGCCATGTTGCTTTGCTGCAGGCACTGCAGTGAACTACAGCGCTCCTAGCAGCTTGCTTGGCCTCTCCTTGCTACATGTAAGTGGCACCCCAGTCCATATATATCCCAGACATTGCCAAATATCTCCTAGAGGGCAAAAATGACCCTCAACTGGTGATCTCTGATTCAGACCAGCACCTCGGAAACCAAACCCTGGTAGTGAGACTTCTGGGTGAGTCACTCAGCCTCCATTTCTTTAACTGTACAGCAGAACAACAACAGGTTTATTACGAGGAAAGATGGCCTTTGTCCTGAGTTCCCTCCTGCTGTTGTCTTTCTCCCATCCCCAGCTCACTCCTCCCCTCCATTCTGTGCTGACATGCTGCTGATTGAGACAGTCTCTGATTGCTCTAGGCCCTGTCAGAACACAGCCCTGTCCCCACCCACCTGGGCCCTGACACCCTGCTTTGGTCTTCCTCCATCACACATTGATGACTTCTTTCATGAAGGTGAGTTCCATGAGGGCATGAGACTGTGTTCACCACTGGAAGCCTGGGCACCAAGAGCAGAGTCTATCTTATTGTAGATGCTCAATTAATGACACTGAATGGACCAGTGTCACCCTGAGAACCATCTTCATCCTCACAGCCACCATTGCTCCTGCTTTCCCCTCATCAGTGTGGACCATGAGGATACAGAATGGGCAGGGACTGGTCCTCACCCAGAAGGTGGGAGGGAGCCAGAATATGGCCCTAGCGGTCTCCCTTGGAATTACAGTAGCTTTACTAGCCTGCCTGTCCCACAGGGACTGGAGTCTCAATAGTCTAGTGGCAGGCTGGCAGGTCTCTAGAGCTTCATAGGTGCTTGCTGACTGACCACTGACCCACTGCAGGAAGCAATCACTCAAGTCAAGCCCCATCCTCCTGCTCCTGCTAAATGGGCCATGACACAGTCCACTGGCCTTCTCCTGGCTCAGTGGCAGCGTCATCATCCCCGCCCCCTCCCCCGCAGTCCTGAGAGTTAAACAAACATGTGTAGAGATTCCAAACCTGGTGCACACGTTTCTGTCTTCCACATATATCCATGCTGGAAGATACATGGACACTCCCATACTCAAGAAAAACACACAGCAACGCACGAGGGAATATACACAAACATGTCTCTGTGTCCCTTTCACAAGTCTCCATCTACCAGTGTGTCTGACAGACAGTGGGTGTGCATGTCAATGTGTGTATGCTGGACACACATCCACAGCAAGCCCGAACCCACCCACTGGAGAGACCACATGTGGATGTTAGGGGTGGGGGTGCTCCTGTTTCCACGCTATTCCATCTTTTTTTTCCTAACCCCCAAAGGCAGCCACCCCTAACCCCATTTCTATTCCTGTGTTCATTCCTCTCTGTATAGCAGCTAGAGAGGCAAAGCCACAGAAACATACATGTTCACTCTCAGACTCAAACTCCCAGACACGAAGACGTCCCTCCCACAGGAACACACACACACAAGTGTAGTGAGGGGGAGGGGTAAAGGGTACAAACGCCCCCTCCCAGGGGCTTCAGGTCCATGCACAGGCACCTGCAGGTGGGATGCAGAGGCCTGTCAGGGTGTGTGACCTCCCTACCGAGCGGGAGCTGAGCCCCAGCCTTGTCTCCACCCATCAAGCCTCTCCCGGAAGAGGGAGGAGCCCAAGCTGACAAAAGGCTCAGTCCCCAGGGGCTGCGGAGGAGGCTGAGGTGTGCAGCACACCTGCACCCTGCAGTCCTCCAAGGCCGGTCCCACCCAGATCCCAAGGCTGGTTCAGCACAAAGGGAGCCTGGCTCTGTGGGAGGACAGTTCAAGCAGAGACCAGACCTACGTTAGGGAGCATGGGGCTCCAGTGGGAAAAGTGTCAGCACTCTGGCCACCATGCCTGACATGCAGTGGTTGCTACACAGAGAGACAAAGACCTGACACTCCCTGGACTCCCTGGGGGAACTGATGCCTTTAGAGATGCCGTCTTCCTCAACCTGGAGTGTCCCACAATGCCAAAGGCACCCACCACCTACCCTGGACCACCTGGCCCTTTGTGGGTCATCGCTTGCTAACTCGATCACTCCATCCCAAACTGAGTGCTTACCCTACTCCCTGCCCCATAACCCACACATCCCAACACATCCTTTCCCCAGCCTGGCTGGAAGACATGTTCTCCATGTTTCGTTCTTCTATGCTTCCAGATTTCACAAGCCTCAGACCTATCCCTTGCCCTTCAGCCCTTCTGGCAAGGCTGGTCCATCATCTGTTTATCACTCCCCACCCCAACACCTCCTTCCATCCTCACCACGACCCCATCCAGGCTATCTTCTTGCCAGCCAACCACAGGCTTTCTCAGCTCTTCCAACATGGCTACCGACCGGGCCCTGTTCACCCAGCCTCCTGCTCCCCTCCCAAGGGCCTGATCTGACCAGCACAAGGGATCTGAAATCTTTCTTTCTTTTTTTTTTTTTTTGACTAGAGGATGTAATTTATAAACATTCAAATTTTAAAAATAATAATAATAATCTTGTAAAATCTTGAAATTTTCAGTTTTTGTAAGCCTAATTTACATAGAAAATGTCATCATTTTGGATATATAGTTCAATGAGCTTTGAAGACTAGAGACTGAGATTTTTTTATCTCAGCCTCCTCTATCCCTCTTAGGTGTTAGGTGGAGGTCTCTCTAAGGTGCTGGTCTCTGCTGGCAAACATGCTGATGTGAGACAGGAAGGGATGGGCTCCATCTCTGGTCCAAAGGGCCCAGACTCAGTTCATGTGCTGTGGTGAACACTGGGATGGCCCATCTGGACTCCCTCCCTGCCATTTCTGTAAGTCCCTCCTCACTCCGCAGGCTTAGTGTGCAGCGGGGCCCCGTGCTGGGGTCTTAGACTACTGAATCCATCTGACCATCACACAGGTAGTGCTAGAGGGTCTGGACATGTGTGAGCCCTTCCACTGCCCTGATCCTTCACTAAACACTCACTGCCGGAGGAGGAGCTCCTCTCAGCTCAGAGGAACACTGAGGCATGCACAGCTCTAGTGCAGCCCTGCTGGAGGGGCCCGGCCACCCTCTGCCCGATGACTGTGGAGATGCATCATCTCTATCACAGTGACATGGAATGACATCCTCAGCATACAGGCAAGTTAAAAAAGCAGGTTGCAGGGCAGTATGTAAAACATGGTGCCATTTTTGTAAGGCTATAGATAGCTCTGTGTGTGTGTGTGTGTGTGTGTGTGTGTGTGTGTGTGTGTGTGTGGAGAGGGGAGGAGAGAGAGAGAGGAAGAGAGACAACTTTATATTTATGCATATGCATAGAAAAATCTGAGAGGATATGAGCCAAACTGCTAATGGTGAATAATTGCAGGGAGAGAGTCTATTAGAGGAGGTGTGTAGGATCATTTTTTGTGACTTTTTAATATAAGTGTAAGACAAACACAGAGAAGTATACAAACCTGAAGTATAGAGCTTGATGATTTTTAAAAAATATTGTTCTTTTACCAAGAGCTGAGCTTTTTAATTTAAAATGAACTAATAAATCACAACTCAGTATTGCTTTTCAGATTATTTTGTTTCAAAATGACACATTTCATGATTAAATAAAGTGCATTTCTAATGTGGGTTTGATTTTCCACATGAGTAAGAAAGAAGCCATGGTGAGCGCAGCTCCCTTAACCTGGGAGTCAGGTTTTAATGACAATGTCATCAACTTGCCAGCAATGGAGCATCAAAGGTAAGCAGCCAAGAAGTTGGAAATATAAATTCTGCACTGCTTCTATTAGTAGAGAGGCCTTTTTTGGAGTCACAGTGCAAAACAGGGCATTTTAAAAATGTTGTTTACTGGGTCTTGAACTCAAGACCTGGGCACTGTCTCTAAACTTTTTCTGCTCAAGGCTGACACTCTACCACTTGAGCCACACCTCCACTTCTGACTAATTGGAGATAAAATTCTCACAGATTTTTCTGCCTGGGCTAGCTTGGAATTTCAATGCTGTGAGCTCAGCCTCTTCACAGGTGTGAGCCACCAGTGCCCACCCACCCACCCACCCATAAGTCACTGTCTATATGACTTAAGATGGAAGTAGTATGGAGTGGAAAGTGATCAGGAGAGTCACAGTGTCCTATCATCTGGCTGGGTTTCTATTTCACTGGCATCTTCTTGATCATAGTGCATCCAGACAACTGTGTTTGAATATGGAACTCAAGAGGCACTGTAGCTTTCTTCTAGAAATAAACCAGCTGTTTTCTATACAGGAATTTAATGATAGTTGTAGAAGAAAGCCCAGAGAAAAATGAAACCAAGAATCACATTGGAAACAGAGGCCATTAAGTGCTCTAGAAGTTAAGTTCCACTATTTTCCATTTTTCTAAAAACCTTCCCATGTTACTAATTTTAAAAAAGTGCCATTTCTCTTTCTACCTGCATCTTAACACAGATACGATGGAATCAATTAAAAAAAAAAACCCTTCTTGTTCCCTAAATATATCCCAAATCAGAAAGTTTTATTTTAGATTTGTACAACTGCAGGATAGCAAACAGGTGTGATGTTCATGGGAAAGGGATGATAGAAACAAAATAGCAAAATCCAAGGGCAGTCTTTCTCTTGTATGTGGTTCTAGGCACATTGCAACAGACAATACCTCCTCCCATGAACAAGGCAATGCAGAAGAGAGGAAG